TTTTTTAAGTTGAACAGGCGACTCTGTCTCCCAGGTGTTTCAGTCGCCTGTTGAAAAGGCACCAGGATCTGTGTGATTTCCCGTGTGGCGACCCACTGCACTGGCTGAAACAGCCACGGAGATTCATGGCACTTTTTTGCCCAGGAATCTCCTGGCCTGGCTCCCTGTTTCAGTCCCCTTTTTTATCAGTTGAACGGGCGACTCTGTCTCCCAGAAGCTCCAATCGCCAGCTAAATTGGCACCCGGACTCGTGTATTTTGTGCAGAGAACCAACGCGCTGGCCAAAACAGCCGCGCCGGCCAAAAGGGGCTCCTCTGTCTGGGAATCTCCTGGTCTGTGGGCAATAAAAATCTGTCTGGAAATGCGGCGTCCGCTCACCCTCCGCGCTTTCACTGGGAGCTGCAATCCTGAGCTGCTCCGAATCGGCCATCTTGGATCCATCCCCCAGAAAATCTTTTACTGTTGAATTTTATAAAACCATGTCCATGGCCAGGTGTGGTGGCTCACACCTGTAATCCCAACACTTTGGGGGGCAGGGACGGGAGGATTGCTTGGGGCCAGGAGTTCGAGATCTTTGTGGGCAAGAATGTAGTGAGACTCTGTCTCTACCCAAAAAGTTATGAAAATATTTTTTAAACCACATAGTTTCTTAATTTTATTTGGTAACACATTCAGATGAGAGAAAATCACCATTTATCTTTCTTCAGGATTTCTCACAAATCTAGTCATGCTGTAGCCCTCTTCTCAGATCTCACCTCTTTCTAGCTGTTCCCATGTTTCCGAGTCCTGATTGTCAAGGTAGCTTCACTCCCAATTAAAGTATCTTTTTTCAGAGAAATTTTCAGCCCTTACCTAACCAGTGTGCTCCTAGAACAACTTCTCCTCGGTCTTTATAGCGTTAATCACAGTGTGTTTTCATTGTTCATTTGTCTTTCTCTCTCTGCTAGATTGCAGTACCGTTTATATTTAGCACGTAGAAAGAGCTCTGTAAATGTTTAGTGAATGCATTGGATGATAAATAACTCCAGTGAAACTTATTTAACCTTATATATGCTATCAAAAATTTTGGTTAGTAATCCCAAATTTATTAGATCAGCTACAGATCTTCCATTTCTGAAACCAGCCAATCTAAGAAAATTTTTCATTTTAACAATTTGCTATTAATTGCATAGTCTCAATATAATTTGCAAGGATTTTCCAGTTTCATAAGCAAATTTCCTAAAGATTTCTGTAGATACCACTATAGTTGTGGCTTGTGTCTTATGGATAGTTTACTGAAAGCAGCACTGTTCTCTTTTGTAAGTTTCTTTTCTGTGATTTTCTTTTTTTTCCCCCAAGTTGGTGGGGGGGGAGGTATTCTCCATTATTCCTTTTCACTTCATTTTTAAAGCCATTACTAACTGAATAGCAAAAGCTAACTATGCCTTTGAAATAGCAGATGCAAGGCATAAAGGAGGCTGGGCATGGTGGCTCATGCCTGTAATCCCAGCACTTTGGGAAGGGGAGGTGGGTGAATCACCTGAGGTTAGGAGTTTGAGACCAGCGCGGCCAACATGGCAAAACCCCATCTCTGCTAAAAATATAAAATCAGCCGGGTGTGGTGGCATGCATCTATAATCCCAGCTACTCTGGAGGCTGAGGCAGGAGAATCACTTAGAACCCAGGAGGTGGAGATTGTAGTGAGCCAAGGTCATGCCAGCCTAGGCTACAGAGTAAGACTGTGTTAAAAAAAAAAAAAAAAACACAAAGAGCATTAAAGGGAGGGAGAATCTATTAATAGAGTGAACATGAAGGTAACAACAGTCCACTGCCAAATGTTCTCAATTGAAGAGCCTCTGAAATGTAAGTGAAATAGTCTTTTTGGGGGGACAGATCAACAGTCATTGGATCTCTCTACTTACTAAACGTTTCTATTTTTTAGGTATCGAATGATAACAGAAGGCGGAGTCAGCATAAATCACCAACAAGTAACAAATCCTGAGAGCGTTTTAATTGTTGGACAACACATTCTCAAGAATGGACTTTCCTTACTTAAAATAGGAAAAAGAAATTTCTACATTATAAAATGGCTTCAGTTATGATGAAAAATCCTTCTGGTTATTCAAGTACTTACCCATCATTTATTCTCAAGACCTCTGAAGGGTTGGCCCCAAAACTTAGATCTTTGCTTATGCAAATCAGAAAAACAGAATGGAGTATACACTAGGACTCAGTGTGAGTAACTTCATTTGATTTTTATGGGCTGGTTAATAAATAAGGTATTTGTTTAGTGATGGGATGTTTTATTTTCTGATGTACAAATCTTGATTACCATAGAAAACCATGATTTTCAGGGTTAATCTCCTTTTAAAATTATACTTGAGAAGAGATAGAGATGCCAGCTTTCCTATCCTACCCTTCCCATTCTCCTTTTTGTGGTGATGAAGAACAATGAAAAGAGGTAGTGTAAGGAATTGTGAGGCTGGGCTCGGTGGCTCACACCTGAAACCCCAGTACTGCAGGGGGCCAAGATGGGCAAATCACTTGAGGCTAGGAGTTTGAGACTGGCTTGACCAACAGGGCAAAACCCTGTCTCTACTGAGAATATAAAAATTAGCTAGGCCTGGTGGCAAGTGCCTGTAACCCCCAGCTACTAGAGAGGCTGACGCATGAGAATCACTCAAACCTGGGACATGGAGGTTGCAGTGAGTCAAGACTGTGCCACTGCACTCCAGCCTGGGAGACGGAGTGAGTAGTAAGACTGTCTCAAAAAAAAAAATTGTGTGTTTTTGTATCAGGTGTGGCACACCGATCTCACTAATGTTATATAGTTGTTTATAAAATCAACAGTGCCTCTGGTGTCCACATTAGAAATGGGAAAACTAGTATTAGAAACTGATTAGAAATTTGATATATATATATATATATTTTGTAGTTGAGGGAGCAAATGTTCATTTTGAAAAGGAGAAAAGTTAGATGAGGACATGGTTGCTTTGAGAAATTACAGTAAGAAGTAGTTTTTTTTTTTTTTTTTTACAAGGAATAGTATAACAATTAGTATGTGACTTTTCAGGAAGTTTCTAATTCAGTTTTTTAGTTCCTTGCCTGTGTTCCAGTATCATTTCATTCTCATTAAGCCATGTTTTGTCAGTGGATTCCTAAGGTAGCAATGTTTTACAAATTTAGGAACTTAAATTAGTTTTAAATTTCCACTTCTGCCCCACACAGATTGCAACTAGAGGTAAATTTAAAAATAATCCCCCCCAAAATAAAATACGCACTCATGTGAGACTATCAAAGTATTCAGGTAAGGAAAGTTTTCAGGTCAAACCTAAAGGATTTGGAATCAAGACTGAGTTCAGCTCTGCAAACATGAGGCAAATTAATTCTCCAGAACTATTTCCATATCTGAAAAAAAGCAGTGGCCTCCCTGTTGCCCTGAGGATCAAGTGAATCACATATGAAATGATTAATCAGATTTCTTTTGAAAATCTTACAGGCTGCAGAGCATGGCTTTAGTGTTCAAATTCTAGCCATTTACTACCTGGATTACTTGGAGCAAGTCACTGTCTTCATACGCAAAAATGGCGATGTAATAATACCTTGGTGAACTGTCAGAATCTGGTAGGAAAAGTCATAAAACGTTTAGTACTCTATACGGTTGTTTTAAAGTAGATTTAGGTATTAAAAAGCTCCTTTTCTCCCTTTCTCTGGGAGAAAACTTAAGAATTTTTTTGACAAACTTTGTCATTTCATACCAGCAATTTTATTTACACAGCAAGAACATACAGGTATCTGTTATAAATGTTAGAGATCATCTCTACATTTCAGAACTTGACTCAGTTTAAGGGCCAACAAAAGAACGTTTTTTCTCTTTCCATTAAGTTTCTTGCCTCTGTTTTTTGTTGTACAAAATGTGTAGTACTAGCAAGTGCATTACCATAGCATGTCTTTAATTTTCAGTTTGAAATCTGATGTGCTAGAGAAAAGTGCATCATAAGTTTTTTGGGTTTTTTTCCCTTATGAATTCAAAATACTAATTATCTGGAAAAAGTAAATCATGTATGGTTATAATTTTGAAACCGATGCCTAATGACAGCAGAGTGATTTTTAAGTGTGGTAACAAAAGTTTTGGGAGCATGTATCCTGTCAAGATGGTACTAGTAACAGATTCAAGATAGTGCCATATCATATCAGGCTGATACAGGGTTTTTAATGTTTGAGATCAGAGCCTGTTGTTCCTTAGTATATTGGTGCAGTAAGCAAAGTTAACATTCATATTTTCCCTGCCAATAGTCCTTCATAAATATCTGGTCATAAACTGAAAAAAAATTTTTAATGTTTATAATATAAATGTGTTGTCTGTTAGTGATGGGGCTAGATGTGAGGTATATCTATCTTAAAATTTATAATGTAGTTTATACCAAGAATCACCTGGGGAATTACATGTTCTAAACCTCATCACTACCCCATAAATGCAGTTTAAGTCTGTAAGTAAGTCTTAAGGAGTTTGTCTATCTGGGTGTTTTTCTTTCAATAACAAAACTCCTCAAGTACTTTCATACTATTCTATTTTGTTGGCATATATTTTGTTTGTATGCTGTAAAACAAAAATAGCTATTACCAGCATACACATACAGTATATTGGTTTTAAGTCCCACCTCAAAGTGAATCTTAGAGGCTGGTGTAAGAGCTCCATTTTAAAGATGTACCTTTGTTACTACTACTGTATTTGCAAGTTAAGGGAGATTTAGGTCATCACTGAATTGTCTAAAACTAAAAGGAACTGGCCGTCATTACCAACTCTTACTAGATCATCAAGGGTAGATGGCTGTTGTTTTTAATGTAGGAATTAATGTAGGCATTCATGCTTACAGTTTTAAGTATGAATCAAAGCATATTTTAATTTTTAATATGCTAGGGCAAATGGACCCAGAATTGGAAGGGCTATGTAACTACACAGTATGCACACCACATCCATGTCGGTGTCACAGATCCTTTTGTGCATTCAGCATTCTTAAAAACACATCAAAGTCTGCAGAGAAGCTCAGAAAAACTAAATTGAAGGACAGGTGGAATACAATGACTCTATGTGAGGAACTTGCCAACTCACATCTTTCAAAGCCAGCTCAGTTTATATAGTACATGCATTATAGTCATATGAAATGTTGTCTTGGTGCTTTCTTCTTAGAGGACTATGGCAGCAGCTTTAAGATTACTAACAAAGATTACACAGGTCATCTTATCCACAGGCAAACTGCTTTGTACAACTAAAACATTAACAGTTCTTTTTAAGTTCCAATGAAACTGTCACAAGACAGAGTTGATGTATTTTATATATACTGGGAAACTTTAGAAACAGCCATTTATTATTTGGATTAAATGTGCGATTTGTTCTGCAATATGGAATACACTTTTCAGTTTACAGCCAGTCTTCACATGAGCAGAGTCATACCATTGCAGTGCACAGGAGTTCATAAATAAAATTCTACTCAGGCAGTAACTAGCAAGTTTTTGAGTCAACAAAGGCTGAGTATTACACAGTTCTCTTCACCAAAGATGAGTCTCTCGGATTTCAGCAATAATTTGACTGGCTCCTTGTAATGCCTGCATTAAAGGAAATAAAAATTTTAAATGCTTATTATAAAGTTATGAAATTAATCAGAATTATGCAGGGTAATTTTTCCAATGTATATGTGGTAGGTTTATATAACCAGTTTGTATTAACCAATATGGTCTCTGGAATTAGAATCTAATCAAGTACCAAACCAAGCTAGAATATAAAGACTATATATATATGTATATATGTACATATGTGTATATATACCTATACTGTATGTGTATATACGTATATACGCATATACA